GCAGTGAAGGACAGGAAGGCCTGGCGCAATATGGTTCATGGGGTCACGAAGAGTCGGACACGACTTAACGACTAAACAACAACAATTCACAGTCCAACTACAGTTCTCTCTATTGACCAGCACCATTGTGTGTGTCTCAGAGGACTAGACTGAAATTATATTATTTACTATTGTGTCATTCTTCGTTTGCCTTTCTCTTTCCTCCCACTCCATCTCCTTTCCACTCATTCATACTTCCTCACAAATTTCACGTCCATATAGCATGTGTATTCTTGATGAACTATGGGTCAAAAATGGAACAAGATGTCTTGTTTAGCCTTCCAATTTTTCCCTTCAATAGCAAACCCAAGTCCTGCTATTTTGATTGAGAACCTGGGAGGGACATCCACTGGGACATCCTTTATTGGAGAAAAAGGCAGGAGAATAGCAAAAGCTTTTCCATGGCATATGTGCATATTAGCTGTTGGCTGGAGGTAAACAACAACGACAAAACCGACAAACAAATTCAGGACTTATCCATCTTGTCCAGTTGCCCCATTCCCAGAATTGGCCAGCAACCATTTTCAGAAGGTAGGAACCTTCCAAATGTAGTTTTGGACTCACCCCCTTCCTATTGCAAAGGTGACCTCTGAGCATGCTTTCCTGCTGTGGTTTTGAAGTATTCTTTTCTTCCTTATGTCCTTATGTTGCTGCTCTTATCCATTTTAGCTGGTGCATTTTATTTAACTACAGGCTAATCCCAGCAGTTTATTGTAATGCTATAATAGCACAGTGATTATAACAGTTGGTTTGTTAAACAGAAAGTTGCTGGTTTCAAACCTGGCAGAAACTTTTTTTTTCAATCACTGTTTTTCTTTCCCTGAGATATCCACTTTTGCCTGGGCTTTTTTTAGTAAGTCCAGAAGTGCACCATTTTATCTTTTCTCCAGTCACAAGAGTCTCCAGTCACTTGGGTTAACAGGGTTTAATCCCACCCAGAGGATAGAATCCTTTTACCATAACTGCCTGGTGAAATGATGAATGGTGCACCATTGGTCTTATTAAAAAAAGAAAAGCCCATGAATAAATAGGTAGCTCAGGGAAAGAAAACTAGTAATAATAGAAAGTTTCTGCAGGATTTCAGACTGACAACCTTTTACTTGGAAGGCAATAGTTATCATCACTACATTGTTCTAGCATTACTAACAAAGGTGGCTCTAGAATATAATAAAGACGAACAGAGCAGTAAAAAAGGACTTTTCATTTTAAAGCTGGTTATTGTCCCTCCATGTACATACATTTTGGTGCTTTAACTTGGTGAATGTATATGGATGGATGGATGGATGGATGGATGGATGGATGGATGGATGGATGGATGGAGGTGTGCATGCACTTGTATGTACGTATATATACCCACACATACACACAGAAATACACAGAAGGATCCACCCACAGAAAAGAAAGCAATTGGCTATTGTTTTCCTGGAATGGAAAGGCATAGCAGAGAAGGAACTGAATAAGGGGAGGCATAGTAGCCAGCTGTTTGAATGAATACTTTGCAAGCCATGCACAAGTGTCTCAGTCCAGACAGGCTTTTCTTAAATTGGCTTAGAGTTGAACCACAACAGGACAGGACGGGAGCTGTTCAAGGACATAGCATGGATATGCTTTCACTTCCCTCCGCCTTTCCAACTGACCTCTAGAGTCTTCATTAGATTATAGGGATGATATAATAAGAAATCAGAAGATTTTGAACTTTTACATTTCTGGAAGCGCAGCATTTGCTCAATCTTACCTGAAGAGTTTTGACTTTGCCAACGAGATTATCTTGTGACATTGCTTGAATGGACTCTTCACTCTCTGCTCGCCCATCAGGCATAAAAATACTGTCATGGGAAAAGGCCCGTGTTCCCATGCTATAATTGGAGGACCTGAAAGGCAATTTAGATACATAGGATTTTATCTATGCCCCACATGACAAACACAGTGGGCTACTGTGGTACTTTCTTTTTTCTGCTACCAGGCCACTTTTCAATGTTTTTTTAATATAGAATACATTTATTTCAGAGGAAGCAATCTACTTTCACTGCTTAAATAATGGGTATACATCTGGACCCAACTCCAGAGCTTCTACACAAGTTGCTGTCAAATTATAATTTGTATGATGAAAGAAAAATGTATTAATTCGTGGGGAACAATTCTAATAACTGTATGTTATTAATTTAATGCAATCTAAATTGTATCTCAATTATATTAAGTTCAATTGCATTTTGATCTTGCCTTCTCCCTGCCCATTTTTTTACTGCTGTCACTTTCATGCTTACAACTGCATCTGCCCACATGTAACTTAAAGGCCAAGGATGGTCCTTAACTTGAAGAAGGTTGAGCATCCTTCCACAAAGACCATTCAGTGAATACGAAAAGGGACAGCTTTGTAGAACTCGATTATTCAAAAAGCTCATCATCTGGCATTAAATGTCAACCAGAATTGTGGCCTCTTCCAGACTATAGCTTCATCATCTCTGATTATTGGTTATGTGGGTCACTACTTACAAGGATTAGGGTCTATAGCATAGCAATTTCTGTGTGGGCAATAGTCTTTCCATTTCCTTTCTCCCTTTATGAGGTTTTGGAGTAACCTTCTACAGCAGTGTTTCTCAACCTCAGCAAGTTTAAGATGTGTGAACTTCAACTCCCAGAATTCTCCAGCCAGCATGCTGGCTGGGGAATTCTGGGAGTTGAAATCCACACAACTTAAACTTGCTGAGGTTGAGAAACACTGTTCTACAGATTGGTGCTACCAGGTTTGCTGCAGCTACACACTAGCCATGCTGGCTGTGATTCTTTGGATTTGCTGTACCAACTTCACTGCAGGATACCAGCTTGCTTTATGGCCAGTGGTACTACATATAGGTTTAGTTGTATTTTGTCCCTTTTCTTTCCTTGGCATCTTTGTGATATGGACCTATTCACCTACAATAGCACCAGAATTCCAAATATGCCCATATAACTGTGTTGTGGTTCTGCTGTGCTTTTGTACAATTCTAAGAACACGATCATTCCAAAAAGATCAAGTTGTTATCACTTATTTTTAGAGTGCAGAAATCTGCCTCCCACTCCCATATTGAAGCATGCACAAATAGAAACGAGAAAAGATGAATAATGTTATGTGCTGCCCTGCTTACAGAACTCCCTTGTACCTGTATACTTTGATATTTATGTGCTTTTCTGAAGATTACCGTTCAAAAATAAGAATCCGTTGGCATTATTGGTATACTGTCATGTCTTGAAGGAACCATAAAAAAAAGAAAAAGAAAAAGCAAGTTTGAGCAAATATATGCTCGGAGCAGGCTCCCACTATCTGCTCAACAGCCCTTCTCCTTAAATGGCATGGTAATGCTATGACAACAGTTGCCGTGATACATGTGAGTTACTCCTCAAACCACTGCGATTACTGCATCTAAGGACAAGTTAACATTTGAATGTTATTAGAAATTTAACATGAAATTGCCTCTCATAAATTAGGATTTTTGAGTCCTTCGGTGGGTAATTCTATATTTTATCAAATAACTGCCTCGATACTACAGCAAGTAAGCAACTGGTCTGTGTAAACGGTTCCACCATACAAATTTACTTTAAATGATATAGTATTTAATGATATAATTGTGGTATTTTCTTATCAACAGGAGATTCAACTGATTTCAGGAGAATCGACACATGAGCATATCCTTTTTGAGATTACAGTACTCAGACACTCTTGTCCTGATTATGCTTCTATACATTTCTCTTATTATCTGATCCTTTATTATACAATGACTGCCAGGTGAATATCTGAAATAATCTATGATGACCGTATTAAACTCATTTAGAAAGGGGAATGTCCTCTACCTGCTAATCAATAGAAAACCTGAAATAGGCACAGCTTTCAGTAAAGAGCATCAACTGTGGAATAATTTCCTATAGCAAAAAGAAGGAATGGGCTGGTCAATACTTCCATTTTTTCACAGTCTTTTCCCTTGAAAGACAGACAGAAAGGCAACAGAGGCAGTTCTCCTCAACCTGCAGTTGTCTCATTTCAGGCAATGCTGCACTTATACCATTACAGTCTACCTTGTGTTTTAAAAAGTCACAGAAGTCTCACTAAAATGAAACAAGAGCCTTCCAAGAGAACAAGTGTTTGCTTTTCATGGGACATTGTTGCACCAATCTACATGGCTGTATGGAACCGGGGAGGAACATGTTTCAACTCTCAGGAGTCTTGGAATTTCTAGAGCTTTAATGGCACATTAAGGATAGCAGAAGTGTTGAAAATGGGTTTTCTCTAGATTCCTGATCTCTTAATATTGCTGCAGCCTACTTGATGCCCTGGCCATTGTCTCAGTCACCATTAACAAGTAAGTTGGGTAGAATATGGAAATGAACTGTAGTCAAGAGAGCTGGTAGCAAAGCAAGCTTATTCCAATAAACATCTGATCGTCTTACTAAGACGACAACTAAGCTGAAATTCAGAGTGGCTTTAAAAAAATCAAAGTACTTTCCAATTAGAGCAGGGCTTAAAAGTAATTTTAAAAAGACCTCTCTATAAAGATAGAAGAAGAATAGATATTCATATCTTATTATCTGTTCTTTCTTTAGATATGCTGTAAATCAACCTTCTGTGACTTGGTGATTTCAATTTCCAGAAATTACTGCCAGAATGACCACATTAGCCGGGAATTTTAGGAAAACAACTAATACCCCTGGAGGCCATTCATTCAGGGAAAGCTACTCTAAATAATTACAGGTAGTCCCCAGTTTAAGAACGAGTTCCGTTCCCAAGGTCTGTCCTTAAGTTGAATTTGTATGTAAGATGGAACAGTATGTATAAGTAGTATTGTGTAATGAACACAAAACATTGTGTATTTAACTGAAATCATTGTGTATTTAACTCAAATTTTGCTACAATAGGCTCCGTTCTTAACTATGGGTCATCTGTAACCTGGGCATTCTTAACCCGGGGACTACCTGTACAAAAAAGGAAATAGCTGAAGCAGGGGTAGGTTAGAATTATTTCAGAAAATCGCCATGATAAACCTGATAAAACCTTATATTATGCACTGAGCATGGTGATGTAATCAGTCTAATGGATGAGGATACAGAAACTACTATCTTGAAGTTATTTCCTTTGGTGGGCAAATTACAAAATCAGTCCCTTCAAAACAGATGTTTTGAAGTAATACCACATGCGTGTATCAGAAATGTCTCCATAATACACCACTTCCATATTATAGTCCCTTAATGAACACCAAGGGTTGGATTTCATTCAAATGAGTATTTTCACAATAACTACTATACTTCTCCTGGCCTGACCTCAAGGCGTAAGACTCAGCAATGGCAACATGCCACAATTTCATTACCTCAAGCCATTGTTGGTCTCTTCATCAGAAGACAGTGCACCATTACAGACATTTCCAAAGGAACTGCTTGCCTTCAACTTGGTGGCCTCACGATCTGGTGTGGTCTCCCGTTTTTTTCTCCTTCCAAAAAACTTTTTGAAAGGCTGAAATTTGCTGCCCTTTTTCTTATCTGCAGATAACAAGTCAGATATACACAAGGGTTCATCATCATTTCATCTACAAACATTCTGAGAAATAAAAACTCAATTAAGAAGCCACCCAAAAAGATGGATGGCCAAACCAGTTGCAAATCTATGCAAATACTAGACACTGAAATCACACCTGCCTGTTGCTGTTCAGGAAGACTCTATCTTGCAAAAACAACATGAAGTTCATAAAAATGTTCATCCTGTAGTGCTTTGGTGATCAAGAAACTATTCTTTAGGAAAGTGGAAGAAGACAACTTGCAACAATGAGAATGCTTCAGCACTATAAACATGAAAGAGGAACGGCTTTATTTAGATTGTTGTGGCATCAGACATGACTTTTGATCATCTTGCTGAAGGAATGGCAAGTATAACAGAGGCTAGCCCTTATAATGAGGTGAAAGAAAACTGCATTTAAATTGCAGAGGATGAGAGCTTATGGCAAATGTTAATTCAGGTCTTGCTTTTGTGTATCAGCATTATGCCTTGTCTTTATTTATGAGTACCTAAGCAACTGCTATCTCACTATGTACGGTGTCCATGCCACAGTGTACCACTTGCATTAAAGTTAATGTTACAGTGCATTAAAACATTGACTCAGTTCTCAGTCATTGGTTAGTATAAGTGAAAGCTATGCAATAGGCAGGCTAGGGATTTAACTGAGTCCAGTGGTCTTTCCCCCTGGCCTATGAAGGACTGGATGGAATGACCATGGTCCAGGGACTGCATAAATGATGGGCATGGTCCAGGTAGGATCATGGACATCATTACTTTAAAAATTGCATTTACAGTTGGACTGTCAGCTACAGAGTAGGAGGCAACTTGTAAACCTGTCTGCATATGAATCTCTGAAAAAGCATGGGTCCTGTGGTTATTCTTGTTAATCCATTCTAATTCACTCTATTACCTTGATAAATATGAAAAATCAGAACTTTATCACAGGACACTATTGATACGTTTCTCAGTTTTGATAGAGACAACTATTTACCAAGTGGTAATTTTTCAAGTTCTCCTTGTAACTCCTTGTTCATTATCTGCCAAAGGGAAGATATTTTTGATGAAGTGCAAATGTATTGCAGTATCCAGCTTACTATAGCCAGGACACTGAAGACCTTAACAAATCATAGTGGCTTACAATTTGGTAAATGATTTTTTTTTTTTTTACTCAGAAGGCCAACAAAAATACAGCTCTAAAGGGAGAAGAAAAAACAGCAGTCAGAATATGAACCACTCTGAGAACAATTACACTTAAAATGAACATATATCATTAACAGCTGATACTTTAGTTTTATAACTGCAAAACAGGAAATATGTATTTATTCAAAAATCCAGTTAAAGCCAAAACAAATAAACTAATCTATCTTTCATTTTTCAAAAGTGGCACAAAGCAAGTGTTATTTAATACATTGTCATTTAAGGAGACTCTTAATGAAATTCAAGCTGGAAATGGAAATTGCAAACTAGATACACCATTTTTCTTTTTCGTCTAACCCATAATTACAACACTAAAACTAAATTGCAAGTGAAGCATTTAATTTCAAAACAAATTGCACTTCATGTGCTGCTAATACTATACTGCTCAAACAACAGGAACAAATTAATATGATAGCTAAAGGCACATTTCAATTCCATGGGTTAAACTAAAGTATCAATAAATTTATTTTTCACAGGAGATGGATTTAGAAAACAGAGTTTCAGGATCCATATAAGTGAACTGTCACTTTAATAGCTCTGATTTATTAACTTAATGTTTTGTTGACTTTCAGATAGGAAATAATAAAAGTTAAGAGGCCTCTTATGAACCAAATCCATCCATTTTGATTTCGCTTACTTTCTATTTTTTTCCTAAATTCATTCTAATCCATTTCTACGTCTTTACTTTTTTTAATCTGCCCCAAAATGCAGGGACAAAATGTCCCTGCATTTTGGGACAGGTTAAAAAAATGTGTGTACTCCTTCAAAAAGCAGTTTTACTGTATCTCCATTCAAGAGGCACCTTTTTGAACATTTTTCTGTTGTATACATTTTTGTAAATGTTTGCCTACTGCAAGGCATTTTATTTTATTTACATCATAATTTCCTCATAATTTATGGATATTTGAGCTGTGAGCTGTGATTCAAAATTCAGAAAAGCACAAATTTTAGTATATGAACTGTATTTCTGTTAATACATAGAATCAGTAAATACCAATTCAAACCGAAAACTTTTTCCATATATGAACCCTCCTGTTTGAGACTATTCACCAGTTCTCAAAGTTTTATTTCAAATATAATCCTACCACAATTGGCTTATATTTTAAAATACTTCTTCCTAAAAGTATTTTAGGAAGGCATGTTAGAAGTTGCCCCTCCTATATTTCTGACCATTGATTATTTTTCAAGCATATATCTCTCTTATTATTTTAAAGTCTAAAATGTAAGTACAAACATTATTCTTAATTTTTTTTAATTAAAAAAATTAAAAAATAAAATTTAATGTATCTCTGAGCTTCTGGGTCTTAAACTTTGCTGCAAATCTTCTATTTACCATTTATTAAGAATGTGTCTTTATACAATCACAGTTTACCATTTGAAACAACATACAGCCTCTTGTCCAAACTACCCTCCTTGATATATCTCACTCTCAAAGAGAGACAAAAGCTTTTCAAACTAACTTGGCCAGAGAAAGGAAACACTTCAGCTCTCAGAAGAAAGAGTGGTTTACACATCCATGCTGATGATTTGATGATTAGCAAGTATCCATGACCATCTGGGACCAAGTCTGATCTCAAACATAACAAATAGAAATGTTCTGTTGTATAAAAGGCAATGTGCTTCTAAAAAATTTGCTTCTAAAAAATTGGTTGTCAGTAAACTTCCAGGCCCAATTCAAAGTTCTGGTCAACATCTATAAAGTCCTATTTGACATAGCACTGGGATATATCTGTATCACCTCAAGACAGAATCTGTCCATCTGGTCAGAGCATCTCAACAAGGCCTACTAAAAGGGTCCTCCACTCCTCCATAGCTAGAGGAACTTGGGCCAGAAAACAGGCTTTTGCTATGGCAGACCCCTGAAAGAACTCTCTGCCCCTGAAAGTGGTGCAGCTCTCTCCTCACAAGCACGGTGACCATATTTTCTTAGAAACAATAAAGGACAAACCTGAAAAAGGGGCAAATCTGAAAGAGGTTCATAAGGATTAAAAAATGTAATTTTTTATGTTTATAACGTTGCTTTACAAAGGAAAATTCAAGGGCAAATCCAAGAAAAACTTTACAAAAGCGCATATTCCAATAAAAATATCTAAACTCAACAGTATTTGAGTAAATTTATTTTAAAAAGACAATTCCATCTCCATATTTTTCACATAAACATGAAAGACTGTGCATTAAGTGGTACCATTTGTACAGTAAAAGTTAAATGACCAAAATAAA